AAATGGATCCCCTCAACACCTCGGCTGCGCCTAGAAATTCTGTCCATGAAAGTAATGAACAGAATGGGCGACAAAGGGCAGCCTTGGTTTGAGTCCAACTCTCACCGGAAACGAGCCCGACTTAATGCCGGCAATGCGAACCAGACTCTGACACCGGTCGTACAAGGACCTGACAGCCCGTATCAAATGGCCCGGTACCCCATACTCCTGGAGAACCCCCCACAAGGCCCCCCTTGGGACACGGTCGAACGCCTTCTCCAGGTCCACAAAACACATGTAGTTGGGCGAACTCCCATGCACCCTCCAGGACCCTGCTGAGGGTGTAGAGCTGGTCCAGTGCTCCACGCCCAGGAAGAAAACCACACTGCTCTTCCTGAATCCGAGGTTCGACTATCCGAYGGACCCTTCTCTCCAGGAGGCTCCAGTTAAAATATATGTTTATTAAATAAAGTCTAATGTTACAACTAATCATGGATCCCTTTAAAGTCAGGGGGTGGACATTTAAAGCAGCACAGGAACCGGTGCGGTCTTTCAGTCATAGCTCAGAGGTAGGTGGTAAACTGGTGACCGGGTGGTACCAACACTGTGTTTACACTCTGTGCTTCTGTGTGTACAGGAGGAGAACGTCTGCCTGCACTGGGCGGCGCTGTCGGGCTGTGATGACATCACCCAGGCTCTGCTGGAGGCTGGCTGTGACCTGAACGCCATCAATGTTCACGGTGACACACCTCTTCACATCAGTGCCAGGGAGAACCACCTGGAGTGTGTGATGTGAGTGTGTAGTCTGCAGACTCAGCACCTTCAATGAGATCACGTCACTTACACCGTACTTGAACTTTAGCTTTTATTTGGCTGAATTCCACAGGTTTTTTTAATTTTATTACCTGAGCTTTCACCTAACAGTGCTTTATTATGTTCTGGAGTCATCTAATTTTGAACTAATAAATAGTAAAATATATACAAGTTCATTAATATTAAACAAAATTACAGCAAAACATTATTAAACAACATTTAATCCAGTGTTTCTCTGAAAATAACGCCTTGTCTTTGATGAGTTCACTCTATTTTATACAGTGAGACTAAAGAAAGAGACTTTTTGTATTGTTCTGATATAAACTTAAGTCTTTTTACTTACATCTGTCTATTTCTCCTGGTGGTAATCAGGGTAAGACTCGGCAGGTTAGAATTYGCAGTCTCTGTGTGTCTGATAGCAGAATATCTCATAAAGTTCTGACTGCAGTTGTAGTTACAGTACATAAGATTAGCTTGATGGTGTCAGAGAGACAGGAGCAGGAAGAATGTTCCTTTATGTTGGTTCTGGTTATTTTTCTGTCGRTCAGGTTGTTCCTGTCTCGTGGGGCTGACGTCACTCTGAGGAACAAGGAGGGGGACACAGCTCTGGACCTCAGCACCTATGGTTCGAAGGTGTGGACCGCCCTGAACACCAACAAGAAGCTAACAGACGCCAGGAGGGGGCGGGACTGTCAGGGGGAGCGAGTGCTCAGCAGGTACACTGCATTATGGGAAGGCGTGGGCAAGTTACCGGTGTCACTGGGTCAGAACAACAACTTCCTGTTTTCTTTTTATGTATATGTGTGCATTTAAATCGAAGTAACTGTAAAAACAGACGTAGCAGCTTTAACTGGCTTTAATCTCTCCGATGTTTTAATAAACTGACTCTTAAAAGGTCCAGTGAGACTTGAAGTCTGTCCTATCCATTTTTCTCTCAGCGTGTCTGCACTGACGTCTGGGAGAGCAGGTGGTTTCATTCAGCCATGGCTGASATGTTTAAACTTTAGTGAAGCAACAGAGTTCAGTTCATCAGAACACGGAGAATTAAAAAAGATCAGTGAACTCGTCCACACAGCAGAACAGTAGGTTACAGTAACAGTTTTAATGTTGAGCAGTATTTAACACTACTATTCAGGCAGCAGTAATAACAGTAACTAGAATAGTTCCTGGAGAAACTGTGAAAGGGCTTGTCATGTTTTGTCTATTGTAAATAAAGATTTGAATTTACTGTTTGTTGTCACTGTAAACTACTACCATCATAAATCTGAGCCAAATATGTCTAAAAATTGACCCTATCAAGATGTTTACAGGAAATGTTACAAACATCCATTTCAGACAGAAATAAGGGTGTTTTAGTTTTCCTGGTATAGATAGCTGAGATTTTTGTGTTTGTGTTTTTAGTTCAGCTGAGTGTTACTGGTCTGTAAGGTGTAATAACCTGTGAGTTATTCTGTACACCCAGTCATGGTAGAGACAGTAACTTGTTTCTCCTCTACAGGGATGTTTCTCGAGGGTACGAGGCTCTTCCTATCTCTTGTGTTAATGGAGTTGACAGCGAGCCGTGCCCTGACAACTTTAAATACATACCAGACAGCTGTGTCACCTCCCCTCTGAATATAGACAAGGACATCACTCATCTACAGGTCAGTCTTCTGCTCTTTGTCAAGAACACGATAACCTTATCTTTAGGGCCGTGTTGCATTAACAGACATCAGAACTGAAAGCACTGCAGCTGTACACTGACTTCTCACTGGTTGTGTTACAAAGCACTGCAGCTGTACACTGACTTCTCACTGGTTGTGTTACAAAGCACTGCAGCTGTACAGACGACTGCTCATCCAGCAGCTGCATCTGTGGCCAGCTCAGCCTTCGATGTTGGTACGACAGTGTAAGTACACACACACACACACACACACACACACACACACACACACACACACACACACACACACACACACACACACACAC